CAAATATTCTCGATCCTCGTCTAATCGCCTAAACACGTTTAATTAAATCGTCAATCCTATTATTTTCATAGTTCGTAATTTATCATTTTCATTTATTCGAATGCACATCATTCAATTCATTATTTTCTTTTCATTCGTTTCATTTCCCATATGTTTCTTTAACACGTTGAACGCCACGTTAATTTTTATGTAAATGTTCGTCAGGCCACGTTGAGTGTTTGAATTGAGTGTAAAAGTTGAGTGTCAGACATCGATGCCTGACACGGCCTGAACGGGAACTTCATTGTCAGTCATTAATGACTGACGTGGCACTCAACGTGTTAAACCAAACCTATCTTACTATATATATATATATAGTAAGTATCATTCTGTCTCTGTCTTTCTTTTATTCGTAAATGTGTTATCCTTTTTATATATAATCTAACTCCTATTATAGGCGATCGAACGCAGGACGTGAAAGGACGAAGGATTATCTTGAAATTCGTTCGCATAATCGATACACTTGTTCTCGAAATAGTTTCGCGAAAAAGAATTAGTTTCTTTCTCTTTTCTATATTTTCGTCCTTCCTACCAACGACGATCATCCTTTCTCTCTTTCTCTCTCTCTCTCTCTCTTTCTTTTTTTTCTTAACAGTATTGTATCTCGATTATCTTACAAATTATAATATATATCTAACAATTTTAGTTTCATCTTAGATTGCTTTCCTTGATCACTCCTACGATTCACGTTTGAGAAAACTCACCCAAAACGATGAAAATATTTTTTTTTCTTTTTTTTTTTTTTTTTTTTGTTGAATGGCTACATGAACAAAAAGTGAAAGATTAGAAAACATTTTCTTTCCTTTCTTTTCTTTTCTTTCTTTCTTTCTTGTTCAGGTTGACATAATCGAAAAGGGTGAGTTTTCATTTTACCCTAAAGATCGTTTTACCTTACTATTTTTTTTTTTTTTTAATCGATAATATTATGTTTGCTTATTTATTTTTTTCATCATCATCATCATCATCATCATCATCTTCTTCTTCTTTCATTACTCTTTTATAACTTTCTTTTAGACGTACGATAATTAGGTTATTTTTTTTTTAATCTTTTTCTTTTGTTATTCATAATAATTTCTTTCTCTCACATTCTTTCTAACACATTCACACCTTTCACTTTCATTCATATCAGTGTGTAACTCTACCTATCCGATCGATTCACGATATAGTTTTTTTTTTTATTTGTATATATATATATATACGCACACATCACACTTTTACAACACAATCACACATCTCTCAATTCAGAATTGTATTTTTTGAAATATTTTTTCATTCTTTTATTTTTTTTAACTAACGAAAGATTTTTTTTCTTCTTCTTCTTCTTCTTCTTTTCGAGTTCCCTCATTTTCTTTAGACGTAAGAATTTGTTTTTTTTTTTTTTAATTTTTTTTTTTACATTTCGATCATTCAAGAATAGAATCATCGATAGAATCATCGAACACAGTCGATTTAAATCGTTGGTATGAGAGATTATTGAAGATAATTCTTTTCTTTCTTTCTTTCTTTCTATCTTTCTTTCTATCTTTCACAAACTTTCTCATATTTACTTGGAAAAAATTACCCTTAAACCTTAAGTCATAATACTAATTCAATACTTGAAGCTCATAATAAGTACATACTTCGAAGAATTAGATTATCAATTATTGTATTTTAATTCTTACAGTTTCTACGACGTTTTCTTTTCTTTTTTTTTTTTTTTCTTCCAGTACACTTTTTTATATTTATATTTTTATCTTTTGTTTTTTTTTGGTTTATTTTTGAAACACAAGAGCGTGTGGGTGGTGCACATTATTCGCGATTTTATCATTTTTCATTTTCTTTTTTATTTTCTTATTCTTTTTGGAATCGAAAAATTGTCTAAAACGCGAATCGATTCGATTGATTCGTAGATACACGATCCTATATATTTTATTTATTTATTTTTTTTTTTAAAGTTTTTATTTTTTTTTTATTTTTTAAATCATACTCAGCATTCATACGACGAGTCTGATAGGTACAAAAGGTAAGTCATCGAACCTGAGTGGCAGTGCTTCGATGACCTCTGTACAAGGGATTCAATATATTTATTTATTTATTTATATATGTATATTTATATATATAGTTATAAAAAGAAAATGGAAAGAAAATGAAAAAGGAAATAGGGCAATGTAAGATAGTTTTCAATGTTTTTTTTTTAAATGATAATAAAAACGCGATAAATAAATAATATACCAAAACGAAAATAAMAAATGATTCTACTTTTATTTATTTCATTTTTATTTGAATTTAAAAAAAAAAAAAAAGAAAATTAATGTTCATTTTAGTATTTGTTGGAACACAGTCAGAGTTGAAATGTAAATTAAAAAGATTTTTCATTTTTCTTTTTTTTTTTTTTTTGCAAAATTTAAAGAAATTTATAGAAGAGAAAGGTGTCATGACCTCCCTATTAATACTTTTGTTTTTTTTATTCAAGTTCAATAATCTCCCGATGAAAATATAAAAAGAAAAAAAAAACAATATGTTGAAGATATTACGTACATTAGATAATTTAAAAAAAAAAAAAAAAGAAAAGATAATCCTAGCATACTTTACGATGCATTTTAATCAGAGATAAAAGGTGTTCTGTTTAATGTTTTTTTTTTTTTCTTATTTTTCTTATTTGCTTCTTTTATTTTTTTTTTTCTTCAAAGTTTTATTATCCGATTTCATAAAACTGCGTTCCATTTATTATGATATTTTAAATATAGAAGGTTGTTACTACTTTTCAAACGATCGAAATTATTTTTCTCTTGCTTTTAATAATAATTATAATAATTATAATAATAATAATAATAATAATAATAATAGTCAGAATACATTTAAAAATTAATACATATGAAAAAGTACGCATTTGAAATATTACATTGAAAAGAAAAAAATACATATAAAATAAAAATAAAATAAGAAAAAGAGAGAAATATCAATAGGCTAAAGAATATGCAAATAAATGCAAGTGAGAGAAGAAAATTTTTCATTACGAAGCAAGAAAGCGTTTTTCCCGTATTCTACCATCGTAAAATCTACATTTTATTATTATTATTATTATTATTATTATTATTATTATTATTATTTGTTGTTGTTGTTGTTCTTGTTGTTGTTGATGCTGCATCATTTTTTTTAAAACCTACGTAAAATGTTTACACATTAGCGTTTCATAAATTTTTGTTCTATATTTACATAACTTACGCCTACGCGAATTTCTTTCTTCATTTTATTTTTTTATTTTTTTATTTTTCAAGTATTGAGCTTGCTTGGAACAAGAAGGAAGGGTGGGGAGGGAGGGAGGGAGGGTAAAAAGAAGGCAGAGTTTAAAAAAAAGTTACACCTTCCGATTATAAAAGTGTTGTTGTGTGATCTTTTTCTTGAGATTAATTTTATTTTATTTTATTTT